AATAAGCACAGATACAACACGGTCAGCAATGTTTTGTCCATTGTGGGACACATCAATAAGCACAAGACCAAGCACCCTCTTCTCTAGTTACCAATCAGAGTTTATGTAATGAGCAACAACACTAAGGTAGTCCTCTTTGACATTACCAGACCAAATATCAAAGGTCAAACACACACAATTAATAGTAGAAGAACTAAGATTCTCAACAAGCTTAGCCTTGCGATCAGTGAAAAATTTAACCATGTCTCTAGTGGTGGTTTGCCTAGAGATAGGAACATATTTAGGATTATGAGTAGTTCTAATATACTCTTCAAATGCATCAGTTTCACCCATACTGATAGGAACATCTAGCCTAGCAAGCAATCGAACAAGTTCAGTACGTGCAACTATAGGACAGAACTCCCAATTATGCATACTACCATCAGGATTAAAAGAGATCTGAGACTGAGACATGTGATTTTTTTCACGCCTCCTAGGGCATTTATCCCTATGCCAAATGAGGTGACCAGTGCCACCACTAGAGAGAGCAGAATATTGCTTAGAGCAATGGATGCACTTAGTGGCATACCTGTCCTTCTTACCATTGACTTTTTTGAAGAGCTTCATAAAATCCAGCCACACTATCGAGGTAGAGGGACGAGAGCCCTTGGTGCTGTTCTCATCCTCTTCACCTTCCTCATCGTTTGCTGCCCTGCCTTCTTGACCATCGCCGACATAAATGGGAGCCTGAGCACTACGGCCGAATAGCTCCTCGGTGTCCTCGCGCAGGTCGTCCTCATCGTCATCTCCGGCCAACCCGCACAACCACCTCTCTTCGTTGGCGCTGACCTCAACTGTTTTATCGTCGGAGCCAGGAATCGTCACTCGCCGGTGCCTCGGTTCCTCAATATCTACAAAAAAGAAGCGTCAGTATAGATCTAGGGTTCGGATTAGCAAGTTAGGGTTAGGGTTAGGGTTAGGCTTACCTTTGCAGCCGAAGCACCAGAATCGCCGGCGACATTGACGAAACACGGATCTGTCCCTCTGGTTCCTCAACGGATTCGAATCCGGAGCACTAGAGCAGCCGGCATCCGGTGAGGTCGACGGAGACGAAGAGGAGGACGACAAGGAGAGGACGAGGCTACATCGACGATGCGAGATCAAGAAGAGGGGGTACTATGCTGTGCCATGTGCCAGTGCCGGCCACCGGTGGCTCAAGAGGCCACCGGAGGGGGAGAAGAAGAGAGGAGGTTGGAGGCGGGAGAGGGGAGTCACCGTCGCAGCGGAGAGAGCCAGAGAGGAGAGTGAGACAGGAGAGAGAGAGCGGCGCTCAAAATGAATTAGGGTTTAGGTGGGATACGGGGCGACAGGGGCGAGGTAGTTTATATACCCCTCCCCCTCCAACGGGCACATCCAACGGTCGAGATGAGTGGGGGAGGCAGATCAACTGCTCCGAGCCGTGCCACAGCCATGCCGGCCTATTAACCATGCCGTGCCTGGGCCGGTACTGCGGGCCAAAATGGCGGCCTAGGCAAGGCACTACGGCCAAGCCGTGTCAGGCATGAGCATGATGCTAACCGGGCCGGGCCGGGCCTAGGCCGTGCTTTTCTGTGCCATGCCTGGGCCGGCCCATTGTGTTAGTGCCAAATGGAAAAATATAGCTGGCTGGCAGCCTAACTGTAGCAGGCAACACCGTAGCACATCTTGCAGTTCGGCATCAAGCATCGGTGGTGGTGATGAGCCAACGACGCCAAAGTTCCACGAGGCAACGGTGGCGGCGGCGGCAGAGTTGCTTTGTTTCGGGAAAGGAGGTTGAAGGAGTGGGAAATAAGAGACACTGGCTACTGAAGTATTAAAATGAGTTGAGGCTTATTAGGGTTAAGGTGCTCCATTGGGCTGACGGGCCAGGAAAGAGAAGCCCAATAGTTTGTCTAACTGTAATACCTTTCACCATTTCCTTTTTTTCCTTTTATTGTTTTAAATTTGGGATGCCGTAAAGAATTTCTTATTTGTTGTAAATTAAATATGACTAACCAATGAATATGGATCGTCTCTGACTAATGAATAAGGATTATCCTATACTATTGTCCACGTATGTATTTATAGTAGAGTATTATAAACTCAACTAAAATGCAAACATGCATAGGAGCAATCAAATCAGGTAACTAGAATAGCAGTAAATTACACTGACGGTCCTAAAACTATTAGCTATTCTCATGCAGGTCCCAAACTATGAAATTGCATATCTAGGTCCCTAAACTATTTAAGTAACTCATCCTTGACCAAAGCAGCCACCTCACAGCGCATTAGTTGACGCGGCGCTTTGCCCATCCTCCGGTCCTCCTGACTACGCTCCGCCTCCAACCTATGATCAGTGACTCCTATATGGTCCCCTACCTGCCCTGCCCGATCCCCTTCGTTTTTTTCCTTTTACACACACATCCATAGATCCCACCCCTTCCCCGTACTGCAAGCACATTGGTTTATCCCTGGGCCGACTTGTTCTTCCCGATTCACGCTTTGTCTCCCCCACAAAACCAACCTCCCCCACCCCTTCCTTTCACCACACGCGCCTACGATTATTAACCAACGCTCCCCATCGCCTACTGATCCATGCACTCCTCTTCCACAACATCCATGGCTACAATGATGAAAGCAGCAGCATGTCTCCTCCTTTCGTCTCCATCTTTGTTGCCTTCCTCAGAGCGGCGGTATGCAGGGTGGATGCACTCTAGTTGTTTGGTGTAGGGTGTGTAAAAGCATTTGGTGCCAAAAGGAAGAAGAACCTCATGGCTTGCGATGATATGCGGAACAACCTCCATATGCCTCTTAGGTGCTCCTGGCCTCCGTGGCAGGCGCAGTTCATCCACCGCATGGGAAAGTGAGAGTCCTTATGCAGCAACCCTCCAACCCTCCATGGTAGCGCCGGAGATGGAAACCGAGCACCTCGACATGCAACCACATGAATCTGTGGCTGAAGGGGATTTCTTCTTTGGGTCTATGTTGTCTGCCAATTGAGGAATTGAGACTCTAAAACACAATGATACATTAAGATTATGTTTGGAACAGCTCCAAGTTCACTAATGGAGCATATTTTTGTTTCGACTCTACAAGCAGCCTCACTAGTGGAGCTCAAGATGTTTTGGTAAAATGTTTGGCTAAACCACTTTTCATGGTAGATAAAAAAGGCTGGAACGTCCTCAATATCCTTCTCTTCTCTTTGTTCTTTTTTCTATTCTTTTTCTTCCTTTGTTTATTTCCCGTTCTTGTCCCTTCCCCTCCAGCCCACCTCCTCCAACCACCACCCTCATCCTCTGCCCCCCGCGTGTGGGTGTCCTTTTTTTATATGCTCTCCTCTTATAGACAGGACAATAAAAGAAGAAAGTTTTTCGATCACTTACTTTGCTCGTCTTTTTATCAGCATTTTAGTTGTGATTTTTTTAATGCAGGTAGATTCAATCTAGTAGTTTCTTTTAGATTAAGCCTTAGGTCTGGTTTGACCTGTGAAAATCTCCTTTTGTTGGAGTGTTACCAAAATTCCTAAAATAAAAGGAAAATACTTTTCACTGTCCTAAACTAATAAGGATGGTGGAGAAGCTGTGGAGCTGCCGGTGGAGCTGGTGGAGAAGCTGTACCAAACACACCCTAGTACAGGAATTGTCGGATCTTGTTGTATTGGATTAGATGATATTGGTATGTCGCTAATGTCTAATGGTACGGTACTAAATGCTTTGAATGTTTAGTAACGGGATATTCAGGAATCAGGACAGACAACAACACCGCTCAGATTTTTAGTAACTGGATATTCATGAATCAGGGTAGAGAACGCTGCCTGCCCTTTTCTTTGACCAATCATACCTTCAGGGCCGGGTATCAGTAGTTTGAGAGCAAAGCATCGCGGCAGTGCCCGATCGAGGATTGGCTGTGCGATATAATCAGGAAATTTATGCCACAATTAGGTAACCAACATTGGAAAAATACAGATGTAAGGGTAGGTGGGCTGCATCAGCGGCCCCAGGTTGAATCGCCTTGTTGTAACCCGGCCCATGTGTTGTTTAGTGACTGATGACCTGAATTCTAGTTAAACACAGCCTTGTGATTCTTTTCTTTAATTTGCTGCTCTGAGATTAAACAGTGACTAAGAATATGTAAACATGCACAACTGTTAATATTCATGGTGCTGTGGTTGTTAGTGGTTGACACAGGTATACCAGAATTATATGTACTTTTGTGCATGGAAACTGGGACCTCCAGTCTACCCACGTTTGAAAATTGAGATTCTGACATCCCACACTAAAATTGATATATTATCATATTACTTCTCATGTGTACTAACAAATGTGGACTTTCCTGTGTTCCTGTTCCTGTACGTTCTCAACTCTTCTGTTCCTATTCCTTTATGTTGCACTAAAGATTAAACAATCTCTTGCACCACATGATTTGAAGTTTTGATCGAACAATCTGTTAGCCTACATGATGGGGGTAATGTCAAAATTCTGAGGACACACAAAAACCTACTGCACCAAAACGTAGCCAAATTCCACTACCACTTACGGTGGAGCCCAGGAGGCTTACCACTGACCAACATCAGATGCATGCTCGCCGGCGTTCACCTCGAGCAGGGACGTTCCCTATACAAAAGTAGAGCTTTGGAGCTAGGTTCCCCGGAAGGAGCTCGCGCGCCGCCACAGGACGGCCGGAGTCCGCGCCGTGCCCGGCTCCGGCTCCTATCCGATCGACGCCGAACCGACCTGCCGCGGCCGCCGTCCAACCGACTTAATTACCGACACCAAAAGCCGATCGCCGTCAGAGTCCTAAGCCGTCACGCATTCGCCGGCCTACTATTTGCAGCTGGCTCCGACCAGGAGTCGGACAGCCCGTATGTCGGTCGGTCGGTCGGTTATGCCTGTGTATAAATACATCGCACCAGCCACACGAATCCACCAATCCTCTCCACACCGACAAGCAGAGCAGGCAAAGGCACAACTTGTATATAATATATATATAAATATATATCGTTCATGTCGAACAGTCCAATGCGTATCGTCGCAGATGAGCACCCTGACGGAGCCTGGTGTATGGACTGGAGCGCGGAAATCCAGCGCAAACGTGATGCGCTGCGCTCGTATCTGGCGGTCCTTGAAGAGGCACGTAGACGGCTGGAAGAGGTACAACACGACGCCGGCGGCGAGCTCGTCCCGGGCGCCGGTAGCGCCGCCGCAGCAGATGAGTCCTCTGACACTGCTGGCGCCGACGACTTCTATCCGCTGGACGACGCCGACGACGACGAGCCGGAAGAAGAGCGCCCAATGCAGTGGCAGGACCAAGTGTGCCGCCAGATGGTTTACAATTACAACAGCTCCCGCCACCTACGGCAGGACGACGACGACCTCGTCGGCCACCTTGCGGACACCGACAACTACGACCTCTACCTCAACGACGACGGCGACGAGATATCTCGAGACATAGTTGCTCTAGGGCTGCACGTCCCGCACATCCAGCAGGCCGGCACCGCCACTCCTCCTCCCTTCGTGCCCAGCGAAGGAGACGCGGACGGCGACCGCGGCTTTGGGGCCGTCCCGGCCTCCACCGCAGCCATCGCGGGCCTCAAGGAGCACAGGTACGACGGGTCGTCCGGAGGTGACAGCATGTGCGTCATCTGCATGAGGAGCTACAAGAAGGGCAGGAGGCTCCGCGTGATGCCGTGCACGCACAAGCATCGGTTCCACGGCAGGTGCATCAGGGAGTGGCTGTCGCGGAGCAACATGTGCCCGCTCTGCCGCCATGCGCTGCCCACGGCGGACGCGGAGCAAGGAGGAAACGGCGGTGTTCACAGGAGAGTGCTAGTAGTGCGGGTGAATGTGAATCCGTACTAGTACTAGCTTAGTGTACCCAGTGCAGTGTATATACAGTGGCTTTACACTTTTACCAACATTATTAGGATTATAAAGTAGTATTTTTTTTCTTCCAGCTAGGATGCTCTAACTTCTATGTTACTGTGAACGGACATGCTTAGGGGCAGGCGTCCGATCTTCCACATGCTGATGTTGCCGTGGGCCGCGATGATGCTTACCTGAATGGCCCAACAAATGTGTTCCATTATGCTCGTATTTTTTATTGGAAAATCGTTCGATCATTGTCCACTCTTCAGAACGGAAACCCCACCCTCCAGGTCCCAGACTCCCAGCACCGTCACCACGTGTCGCGACTGCTCCGTCGTGGTGGCCACCAGCCTAGCAACATCCATCCTCTCCACCGATAGTGCTCGCGGGCCGTAGCTGGCGCTAATGCTGGTGGTGCTCGCTCCGCCAATCGCACGCTCCACCCGCTCCCTCCCGTCACGCGCGCTGCTCGCCTGGCCGAGCCATGCCCAGGGCTGGTGGCGCTGGTGGTGGTGGTGCTCGTGCAACTGCTGGTGCTGGTGGTGCTCGCGCGCTGCCGCTCATCGCCGGCTCCAACCCCACAGCTGGATTCGACAGGCCCTGGCCTCCCCCATGTTGCAAAATGCATGTTTCATGTGCCAGATGTGTCATAGGTATGTTATAAGTGTTTCATATGGACGTTACAAAAGTAGATCAAGATGTTGCGTATGTTGCAAAGGTTGTACACGTATGTTGTAAGATTTTATTCCCAATGTTTCATCTGTTTCTTTCAAACACATGTTGCAAGTGTGCTTATTTATCGGATGTTGCATATGTTTCGTGCATATGTTGCAAGTGTTTTATCTGGATGTTACATATATTTACAATGATTTCAAGTGTTTTCGATGTTTTTGCGAGTATTTCAGACGCATGTTTCAAGTGTTTTGTAAGTTTCAAAATATTTGTTGCAAGTGTTGCATGTAGATGTTTCAAAAGTAGATCGGGTGTTGCATCTTTCTCCTCACCTTCTGTTGCCTCGCCTCGATGTCTCCTCCGCCTCCGGTGCCGCCAGCAAGGTCCAGCACGGCCGTCTGGGTCCTTCCCCTTCTAGGTGCTCAAGTTGGGCGTAGGGCAGTCATGGAGGAGCAGGGCCAGTGTTGGCCTGCGGATGCGGAAAAGCCATATCAGCTAGTGAGGCACGAGGCTTTTTTTAGAGAAAGAGGCACGAGGCTCTGGAGCAGCGTTCAGACGTGTCCTGTAGCCGGACGTCCTCTTCCATAGTGTGAACGGTGTAGTTTGTACTGTAGTAACCACAACAAGTGGGCAGTGGCTGGGATTTTTACTTACCTCTGTAGAGGTAAGTAAATACTAGTACTACAGTACAGCAATCAAGAAATAAGGAAGATAAAATTCGGCACGTTGTCAGCAAGGGAATGATTTAATTCGTTGTAATCTTTGTTCACAAGAGCTCGTTCTAGTTGTGTTTCTAGTTCAAATTTCTTCCAAGTTTACATAAATATAAAATATATATTAGTATTTGCAATAGCAAATAAATTGACAAATTTCATATGTATACGCGTGGGTTTGGAGAGAAACTAGTAATTTCATACTATAAACGTTGCCTTTTTCTTATAGATTTCATCTGAACCACAGCACACGCAATACGAATGAGAATACTTAGACAACATGTGTTTTTTTATAGATTTCATCTTATTTTGCAATTTTTTTTAAAAAAAATACATGTCTAGAAGGCTACCTTCGTTTTGTTGGTAGGTGCGCCCCCTTCTCTGCATCCATGTACCCCTATTTGGTAAGGATATGGGCACGTGAATTTAACTTAGTATGACTCTAGAAAACTGATTTACTTAGGAAGCCAATTAAGGACCTACTGGGATCCACCTAGCTAACTATTAGTCCTGTTAGCTGGGATAGAAGAAACGCTAATAGCTACAACTTGTACTTGAAGTATTGAAACATTAAAAAAAAAATTGGATGATATGTAAGGTATTAGAATGTTTATTAGCTGAAGATCCAAATAGCATCTCAGCTAGTAATTTTTAACAGCTAATTGTTAGCTACATGTGATCTAAATAGATCCAATTTACAATCTTTTATTATTACGAAAACTAGGAAACTATTAATCTATATTGTTATATATGGTTAGGATCAATCGTGACCCTTACCTACCGAGAGTATATTATCTTTACCTATAATATATAATATAATAATAATAATAATAATAATAATAATAATTATTATTATTATTATTATTATTGGTGGTGGTGGTGGTCGTGTTGTTGTTGTTATTGTTATTGTATTGTTATTATTATTAAAGAGCGAAGCATTTATTCTAATATACTATTTTATTCCTAAAATACCCCTCTGCGCAGTCTTTTCTTTCATCTTGCTTTTTTTCTTTCCATACTAATCTCACGTCTTTTCTCACATGTGGCCCGGTTTTACGATCCGTGCTATACAAGTTATAATAACTTTCATGACTCGTGCTTATGCAAGTTAGAATAACTAATATTTAATAACTGAGACAAATTAAGTCCGGTTCTAAGATATAATGGGTTTGGTGCAACGCATGAACATATTTACTTAGGTATATATAGAGGTAAATACAAGATGGGGCAACGTACTTTCATGAGCTCTATGGGTGGGTCATCCTTATCCTCGCCCTGTTCGTTTATGTTTGTTTAGCTTATAAGCCGTATTTTTTCAGCCAACGAATAGTATTTTTCTCTCACACCAAATCAGCCAACAGTACTTTCAGCCATGGATTATCAGTCAAACAAGCCCAACCAAACGGGGGCGCCTGTCCATAACTCAGTCTGGGCAAAATCCCCGACTCATAGAAATCTACAAAATTCTGGGCGTTTGGTATATGGACTCGGGGTGAATACATAAGAAGTGATTGACATTAGGATACTGGGCGAACGGGCCGACAAAGCCTTCTGAAACGGACTCCGTGCGCCATCTGCCTCGAGGACTTCGAGGATGGCGACGGCCTGGCTGTGATGCCGTGCGCGCACCGGTTCCACGAGCGGTGCCTCACCGAGTGGCTGGCGCTCAGCTGCCGGTGCCCCTGCTGCCGCCACGCGCTGCCCAGCGAGGGCAAGGCGCCACCTGCTGTTAGCAGCCTTGCTGTAGCTACGTCTACGGCTACGACGAGTGCGGCGGAGGGTGGCGGTGCCGGCGCCACCGGAGGATTCCAAGGTAGGGCCAGGGAAGCAGCGACGAGGAGGAGGAGCACACGGGCCCGCCAAGGGAATGTGCGCCTGTTTGGGCCTGAATGGACCGCCGATACCAGTGACGATGGGCTCGGCCTACAGCAATAGCTTGTGCCACGCGCTGCCTAGCGAGGGCGACGAGCAGCCCCATGCTGCTGCCGCTGCTGCGCCTCCGGGCAGGACGAGTGCGGCGGCCGGCGGAGGATGGCGCCGCGGGCCAAGGATTTGAAGAGAGGGCCCAAGCGAACGTGCATCTGTTTGTGCCTGATTGATATGTGGATGTGTGAGCATGTACTTTGATTGGCCTGTGAAGATCTATAATCTTGTGATTTTTGTCGATTTTTTTTTTTGTTGTTCATCTGTGGTCTATGTTATCATACGACTGGCTCGCATAACGTACTAAGCTGTCGGGCTAATCGGGTCATCCCGAGCATAACCAAGTGGTTAGTGTCATGCTTGGGCTCGCTGTTGAGCCCACGAGCGCCATGACACTGGCATGTTCGCCTAATCGAGAATGATACAATCATCGATGAACGTCTCACTTCGCTTACTCCCACACTTGTTGCCCGTCAAATGACCCTCTCCATTATCTGGTCATCCATTTCTAAAAAAAAATCACACCCACACGCCTTGCTTCGCTCTACCCCCACACGCAGCGCTCGACTGCTAGCCCTACCAGACATGGTGCGCGGCTATCCTCCCCCAGTCTCGGCGTGCGGCCCCCTGCGAGTCGCGGTGCTCGACTGCCAACAGGCCGGCCCTGCCAAGCATGGCGCGCAGCCGCTACCTCCCTACCGCGTCGCGCAACCACCGCCAGCCCACCACCTATACAAGCGTCGTTGAGCCACTACCTACAAGCGTCGCTGGGCTGCTGCCTCCGGCGAACTCCACACACCAACGAGTCTCCATTCTCCCAAGCAACAAGGAGATGTTGTGCTGAAAACGCATGTTGCAAGCATATGCTTCAAGTGTTTCAGATGTATATTGCAAGTGTTTCAGACGGATGTTGCAAAAGTAGATCGGGATGTTGCATATATTGCAATGTTGTACACGTATGTTGCAAAGGTCTGTTCCCAATGTTTCATATGTGTTTTCGGACGTAATGTTGCAAGTGTGCTTATCTGGATATTGTATACGTTTCACACATATGTTGCAAGTGTTTTATCTGGATATTACGTATGTTTGCAATGGTTTTCAGGTATTTTTCAGGTGTTTTTGCAAGTGTTTCAGAAGCATTTTTGAAGTGTTTTATCTGTCTTTTTTTTTGTATATTGCAAGTGTTGCATCTGGATATTTGAAAAATGGATCAGTCGAGTGCAACGGATCTCCGTTTGGTCGGTATGTGGATCAGATTTCCGACGGTGTTTCTCGCCTCCACGAGATGGTTAGTGGCGATGGGCAGACCACGCCACTGCAGCAGTGCTTGAGGCAACTCTCGGACGCTGCCTTCGGGCGGCCCGGGTTGGCTAATTGTTCTTCTTAGTGACGTGCTTAAAAGGACTAGTGTCGTGTCAGGCTATTGCCATAGTGTTAGGAATCAGCATAGTGTTTTGACTGTTTGTGGGCTCTGCTGGGTCAGCATTTCTTAATTCGACTGTTCAAGGTAGCACTACTGAAAACAGAGCCTTTACCGAGTGTAAAATTCTTCGCCGAGTGTTAAAAATCGGGCACTCGGTAAAGACCTTCTTTGCCGAGTGCCGCACTCGACAAAGAATTGCACTCGGCAAAGAGTTCTTTGCCGAGTGTCAGGCACTCGGCAAAAAAGTGCACTCGGCAAAGGACTTCTTTGCCGAGTGCGAACTCGGCAAAAAAAGCGGCACTTTCGGCATAGGCGCCTGCGTAACGGTGTTGACCATGTCCTTCTTTGCGGCGCGAAGCTTTGTTAGGCACTTTCGGCAAAGATTTGTTTTTTTTTTTTAATTTCTTTGCAGTGCCCCGGATCGGCACTCGGCAAAGATTTAATTTTTTAATTCTTTGCGGCGTCTCGGATCTGGCGCTCGGCAAAGAAATTTTTTATTTTAAAATACTTTGCGAGTGCCCACAGGCGGCACTTTCGGCAAAATTTAATTTTTTATTATTTCTTTGCCGAGTGCTCTGTGGATGCACTTTCGGCAAAAATTAAAAAAAATTAAAACATTCTTTAGAAAACACGATGGGCGGCACTTTCAAAAAAGACCTACTAGAAGTGCCATGCCCGGCTTTCGGCAAAGAGATTTTTTTTTTTGTTTTTTGGCCTCCATTTTTTGTGCAGCATTTTTAAAGCACGAGTTACAATTTGGAGACTTTTGTGGCTTTTTGTTATATTTAGTTATTTTATTTACGTTTACTTGAATTTTTAGGAAATTAGAAATTTGAGCGCTTGCGATAGTGCAAATAATGGAGTTTAATTTGTGATAGTCATGTTAGTGAGTGTTATGAGAGGCAATCCGAGCGGACCCGAAATTTGGGACATCTTGTTCACGAAACATGTCCAAGTGAAACATTTTGTGACGGCTTCTATAAAAAAGCAACCAAGTCACATTGTTGAGATGTCGTGATATCATGTAATATCCGGATTTGTAAGCATCTTACAAACGACATCGCATGTAATAATAAATCTTCTAAAAAATTTCTAAAATTTTATCATAGCCTCCACATATGATATCACGACATCTCAACAAGTTTCATGATTTTTGGACTTCGCTTTTGTTTTTATAGAATTTATAAACACTTCACACGCAATTTCGCGGACATGTTTTGGACATGTTTCGAACAAGATGTCCGAAATTTCGGTCCGCTTCTCGGATACGGCCTCATAACACTCACTAAACATGACTATCAATTTTGAATCATTAAACTCCATTATTCGTACTAACGTGCAGCTCAAATTTCTAATTTCCTAAAAATTCAAGTAAACGAAATAAAATAAATAAATATAACAAAAAAGCCACAAAAAGTCCCCAAATTGTAACTAGGAGTTCCTGTGCTTTTTAAAAAAAGGCTGCACAAAAATTGGAGGCCAAAACAAAAAAAAAAAAAAAAAAACTTTGCCGAAAGTGCCGGGCATGGCACTTTCGGCAAGAGTGTCTTTGCCGAGTTCCAACCATCGTGTACTGGCAAAAAAGAATGTTTTAATTTTTTTAAATTTTCTCTTTGCCAAGTGCACCCACAGGAGCACTCGGCAAAGAATAAAAAAAATTAATCTTTGCCGAAAGTGCCGTCCGAGAGGCACTCGGCAAAGTATTTTAAAAATAAAAAAATTTCTTTGCCGAGCGCCAGATCCGAGACGATCGGCAAAAAGAATTGTGGGATTAAATCTTTGCCGAAAGTGCCGATCCGGGGCACTCGCAAAGAAATTAAAAAAAAAAAACAAATCTTTGCCGAGTGCCTCCTCGATCCGGCACTTTCGGCAAGCCGCTGACTTAGCGGTTTTGACCGGCGGGCAACATCGCTGCCCATCATCCAGCGCACGCCCCCACGCCACCTTGCCATTGCCCACCCTTTCCACACCCGCTCACACACCGCCACACCCACTTGCCACCCGCGCACACGCCTTCACACCACACACCACACACACACACACACCACCATTGTTGCCACATGCACACATACCATGCTACCACATGCCCCCTTCGCCATCATCTCTACCGCCGCCCCACCCCGGCCGCCCGCCCGTGCCCTCGGCCACCCCCCCTCACCACACCACCGTGCCCTTCCAGCACACCGCATGCCCCCGTGCCCGCCTTTTCCCCCCCACCAGACCACCACCCACTGCCCACCAAGCCACGCCAGGTGCCCCTGCCCTTCCTTCCCTGCCTTAACCCCCGGCCGCCTCAGGCCCCGGCCACGCCTGTGGACCACCACTTGACGCCATCCGTGCTCGACCCCGTCCCTAACTCCGCCTGATCCGACACGCCGCCCGCCACTACCCGTCGCCTGTCGGTATGCCTTCTCACTTATTATTGTCGAGGTAGTGGTAGTTGTAGTAGTATTAGTTGTACTAGTGGTAGTATTAGTACAACTAGTGGTAGTATTAGTAGTAGAATTAGTGGTAGTAGTAGTAGTACAACTAATGGTATTAGTTGTAGCAATAGTGGTAGTAGAAGAAGAACCAATGGTAGTAGTAGTAGCAATAGTGAAAGTAGTAGTACAAGTAGTGGTACTACTTGGATATATTCTTCTGCATGGATTGATATCCAAACTACATGGCTTCTGTTGAGCCATATGTGCTTGTCGGCCATCGTGCCGTTGTTTTTTGCAGATTTTGGAAACCTCACCGTGCAGGGGAGGTTCTGTCGATTTTTTTTGTAAATAACAGTATTTTGTTCCATTTTTGTAGAGAAGAGCCCGTCAGAGTTGAGTCGGAGTTCTCGCCACCGTGTCGGTCTGCCTGCACCGCGTCGTCTCGCCACTGCACCGACCCGCCATGGCCCCGCTAGCCTGACTTCGTCGCCACCCTAGGTATAACCCCTCTTTTCGTATCATTGTCGTAGATCGCGTAACCCAGTTAGGCGTCTCCCGTTCAAAAGAGATACGGTTGGAGGTATGCAGATCTTTGCATATTTATGACCGTATCTATTTCGGATTGTCCATGCTTTTTGGACAGCCCGCGGATGCGTAGATGGGTTAGTTTTCATGTTCTGCTCTAGTCCGAGACAGAGTTTCGGCATCACCTCCCTGTTGTTCTCCGGATACACACTCTTCTTTGGCAGGACGTGTATCTGGAGAACAGCGGGGAGGTGCTGCCGAAATTCTGTCTCGGATAGGAGTAGAGCATGGAAACTAACCTCATCTACACATCTGCGGGTGGGATTAGGACCTATCCTCACCTATTAGACAGTAGGAACACCATGTAGATGCAATTAATGGTTACATTACTCGCCGATACATATGTTAGAGGATGGATGACCGTCAGTGGATGTACACGGGCTGGAGAAGTCAGAGTGATTACACCACGGAATGGATGAACAAGACCGATGCTTTCTTGAACAGTGCATTTGGCAACGCTGCTAAAGGACATTGCCTAGTTTTGTGTCCCTGCAGCAAATGTGGAAACAGGAGAAGGGTAAACAAGGTGGAAATGGGTAAACATCTTGTGAAGAATGGATTTACGCCGGACTACACCCGGT